GGAATGCTTTGAAAAATGGTTTACTGAAGTAATACAGCGTGTAGAACGAAATTCAGTTATTGTACTAGATAACGCTTCTTATCACAGTCGACGAGTTGAACGCATTCTGATAATGTCCAGTAGGAAAGCGGATATGCAAACCTCGCTGCGGCATAAAGCAATAACATTTACTGAGGAGATGCTTAAAGTGGAATTAATGGACTTAATAAAGGAACACCGCCATAAATATATTCAATATGTTGTCGATATAATGGCTCGTGATCGTGGTACTACGGTATTCAGACTTTCCCCTTATCATTGCGAATTCAATCCTATTGAACTAATTTGGGCAAAAGTGAAAGGGTTTGTAGCTCGAGAAAATAAAACTTTTAAAATAGCCGACGTTCAAAGTTTATTAAAAACCGGTATAGAACGTATAAAACCTGAAGATTGGCAGAATGCTATTTCTCATGTAATTAGGGAAGAAAATAATATGTGGCGCTTGGACGGTATGATCGAAACGGTAGTTGAACCTTTAGTCATAACTTTAAGTTCTGACGATAAAGACGATTCCAGTGATAGTTCTGCAGAATCAATGGATTACGAAACTTCATAGATTTAGAATTCAAGTAAGTGATACCAAGTTTAATTTACATATTTTTATAATAAACAAAATACAGTTATAAACATAGATGAATTATTATAACAAAAATAGATATAGATAACCAACCTACTTTCATCTAGTAATATTTACAAATACCCATTTAATTTGCCAATATAGTATTTCTGCGACACTGGAAGAGTGCATTTTGATATGATAACGATACCTTTTGCAGTTTTAAGGCGCACTTTTTTCAATATTTTGTTCTAGTATAATACCCCATTTAATTTTTCAATAGTATTTCTACGCCACTGGCATAATATTTACATATTTTAACAATAAACAAAACAAAATTATAAACATAAATGAATATTACTACAAAAATAGATAACCAACCTACTTTCATATAATATTATTTACTATTACCACATTTAATTTGCCAATAGTTTTTATACGCCACTGGCGTAAGTCATTTTGGCAATAAACATGCATTTATGACTAGTTGGCACGTGATTCCGATAACTTCTGCAGTTTTAAGCGCGTGATTCCAATCATTACGCTCTGGTATAGTATGATTGTTGTACGTGAACAGGAAGGAATCACCTTCTTCAATATTTTGTCCGAGTATAGAGAAACAAGTGACATATTCTAGAACAACTAGATATATCGCAAAATTGTATTTTTCAATAATTACATTTTCTAGGGCAATACAACGGTTTTATTGTTTTTACTCAACAACGGCGCATTGCAGGAAAGCAACTTATGGAAGCTCTTTTGTTTAAAATTAAATTTTTAAAAAATCATTAGTGTACCATTTTTTTCTTCGAAAATATCGAAGTCAGTGCCCGTATGCATGCTACTTTAAAAGCTTAAAAATATTTTTGCTTTGATAAATATACACCATTAAATTAATGGCATTATTAACTGACACTAAATATTAAATATGACTGAAATATATTAAGCGGTTACAAACATATTAATTAATTTCCTTTTTGTTTCCTAAAATTTTAGCACCCCGAATTTTCGTCACAGAACATTTTGGACCATAGTATATAAAACAAACTACCAGGAAGATTCACACTCTTAAATATTTGCATATCATTAAGAAACACCCTGTATAACAAAATACTATTGTATAGATTTGAAATCTGTGTTTATAATAATTGTTGTGTGTGCTCAAACTGTGAATTCATTCCATTTTGTTTGTTGTATCAAAGGAAAAGTTAAACCATCGAAGTGGTAAAAGTAGCCGGTATTATCCAGTATTTAGTAGAATAAACTCGTGTGAACAGAAGTGTCTTTCTTTCAACTGAGGGACCATTAACGCTGCGGTGGCCCTTGTGAGCGAACTTTTTCTTTTTATTGCTCTGTTTCAGCTTTACTTTGGTCTGCAGAACATCGTTTGGCATTAGAGTGAACGTTTGTTTTATTTCGGGACCTTGTTGTTGATGATCTTTGAATCTTTTCGCCTTTTCTTTTGAGTACCTTTATGATTTATACGCATTTTAGGGATAATCTATTTCATCGCAAAACAAAAAATATTTCAATTTCTTGATAATTTGTTTTTAGAATGTATCCAGGCAGTTGATGAACATTTTAACATTGGAAATATTTATACTTATGTATAGGGCGAGTTTTTATACAAATAAAAAGAGACGAGTGGTGTCGACGTCATGTGACCTAATACATTTAGATCGGGGAGCATAAACGAGTTTTTTACGGTTCTTTTCTACTATTTTATAGATAAAATTATTTTTTCTGTGAATAAGTGAGATATTCTCAAAAATATATGTTTTAAAGTCAAGATTCTCCTTAAAAATTAAAAATCCCGTAGGGCAATGTTTTGAAGTGAGGGTCATACAAACGTTTTAAGAACAATCAGAGAGGTTTGAATACCTAATACTTTAACCATTCAACCTCCTGTTACCCCGGGTTTTGTATAAAAAAAATACTTTAGTCGAATTTATGGCTAATGGGATAGAACTACTAATTAAAAATATTTACAAGAGCAATAAACTAAAGTTAAGAGTCAATCAAACATTTTGAAACCAATTAAACTACTTTCCGACTTTTTAGAAGTTACAATTTTTTATATATTAACCCTTTCGCTGACACAAAAACATGCTTGCAATATCATCATTAGTTCAGGAAAACTGCGTTTAAGCTATACTTCGAATTTTGTTGAAAAACACAAATATCTGGTCACGTAGCCGAAATTCCTACACCATAATTAGAAAAACCGAACGACAGAAAATGCTTGCTTTTTATATTGTTAAGAATATTACTTCATTGCCTGAAAAATAATAATAGACAGGTTAAATGACGGCTCCCACCGTCGAGATATGGTACATGTTGTTCACTCCCCTCTACTGTAGCCTATCTTCAAAAAACAAGAAAAAAATTACATGCCACTTTTTGGAGTCAGATTTTGTGCTTTTGGCACCTACTGTTGCTTTTTGTTGAATAAAGATATTCATCCATTTCGTAGAATTTTTGATACGATTCCATAGGAAATTTGACTTTAAAACAGCTCCATTTAGGCAAATCTACAGATTTCTGTAATGGTTAGGTTAAAAATGAGTAGGATGATCTCATCGCCTTCCACTGTGACCCAGATGAATCTATTGTAGCTCATGTCTACAATATAGTTGACCGTACAAGGTATACCTTTTGATGAAGGTCATGGTTGAATTGAGTGAGACTTGTTTAAAGTCGGTAGGCTCCAGTCGGGTGAATTCAAAGATTTGAAACTTAGTTCTTTTCAAAGCGGAGCAGATATATAAAATGAGCTCTGCAGATTTGTCTTCCATGCTACAGTATCGACAGTCCGATGTTTGTTGCAGACCTACCTTTATTCGGTTACCCAGACGACAATGTCCTGTCATTAGTTCTTTGAAAATGCGTAGATCTTTCCTACTGTGTTCCTGGAAGAGCAGAAGCTTTTATGGAAAGGGTTGGTAATAAATGTTTTCGAATGAGTTAGCCTTAGGATATCTCTCCAGTTCGTGAGTGTTTTACCTTTCGTCCATTTTGAGATAATTCCTTTGAAAGTGTTATTTGCAATGCCCAGGAATAGCTTTAGTCCTATAAACACACCGCTGTGTCCCGGTAAACCAGATCATGTTCCGAGCACCGAGACACTCAAGGGTATTTATACAGTTCCCATCCAACTTTGAGACAACTCGATTGAAGCTCAGGGCTTTGAGGGCTGCCTGGCTATCTAAAAAGATTTTTAGTCTTGTTTGCGGAGAGAAAATTAATCAACTCTCTTGCTTCCAATTCTATAGCAATCATTTCTGCTTGGAAGATCGTGGCCAGAAAGCCTAGGTTTATTGATATATCAACTCTTGGCTTCTGGCCGAAAACTCACACTCCTACTCCTTTTACAGTTTTAAAGCCGTGCGTGTACAGCGCATAGTTCCCCTGCTCCATACGCCTTTCTCTGGAATAGTGGACGCTGTATGACTTTTCTGTGTGCTTAGCGAGTCTGAGTCCATACCGATGATATGGTTATTAATTTCACTCATCACTCCCGTCTTGTTCCAGCGCAGTTTTTTATTGCGTTGACTACCCTACATCAGGATTCGATAGGAGACCAACCTGGCCTTCCTTTACAGCAAAATGTGGAGAGGGGTTAGGTCCAGCATGGTCTCCATGGCTTTTGTCGATGCGGCTGATATTGCCCCAGTGATGGCGAGGCACGCAAAACGCTGGATTCCACTGTAATAGTCGTTACTGAGATTTTTCTGATTAAAGAGCTTTTTAGAAAGCATGTTCAAGTATTGTTTCCAGTCTAACTTCTTATCTATAAAGAGGCCCAAAAATTTGACATATTCTTTATCATTATCCATTTCCTTTAGGGTCAAGTTGACTGATGTTGTTTTAGATTCATTCGTTTTACTTTATACAAAATTTCCTCCCATTTTCCATTCAGTAGCTTGATATTTAATGTCTGATATAAAGTTGTGTCATCAGTATAATGGATAGATTTGGCTGTTGACAAGTATTGAGAGAATTCATTAACATACATTATAAAAAGGCTGGGACCAAAAACTGCACCTGTTGGTACCTCTATCTGATCAGTTATTTGAGCAGTCTACTAGATGTCGATTTTTTAGATAATCTGGAATAAAACCTAATGAGTTTTCTCGAATGCTATAATATTCCACTTTTATTATTATTTTGATCAACACAATCGAAAGCTTTTGTTAGATCACATAACGTTGCAGTTAATATCGCCTTATTTTCAAATGAGTGACTGGTCGTTTTAAAAAACTCTTTAAGAAACTGTTTAAGAAACTATTTAATAAACTATTTAAGAAACTCTTTTAGAAACTCTTTAAGAAACTCTTTAAGAAACACTTTAAGAAACTCTTTAAGAAACTCTTTAAGAAACTTTTTAAGAAACTTTTTAAGAAACTTTTTAAGAGAATATTTAAGAAACTCTTTAAGAAACTCTTTAAGAAACTCTTTAAGAAACTCTTTAAGAAACTCTTTAAGAAACTCTTTAAGAAACTCTTTAAGAAACTCTTTAAGAAATTCTTTAAGAAACTCTTTAAGAAACTCTTTAAGTAACTCTTTAAGAAACTCTTTAAGAAACTCTTTAAGAAACTCTTTAAGAAACTCTTTAAGAAACTCTTTAAGAAACTCTTTAAGAAACTCTTTAAGAAACTCTTTAAGAAACTCTTTAAGAAACTCTTTAAGAAACTCTTTAAGAAACTCTTTAAGAAACTCTTTAAGAAATTCTTTAAGAAACTCTTTAAGAAACTCTTTAAGTAACTCTTTAAGAAACTCTTTAAGAAACTCTTTAAGAAACTCTTTAAGAAACTCTTTAAGAAACTCTTTAAGAAACTCTTTAAGAAACTCTTTAAGAAACTCTTTAAGAAACTCTTTAAGAAACTCTTTAAGAAACTCTTTAAGAAACTCTTTAAGAAACTCTTTAAGAAACTCTTTAAGAAACTCTTTAAGAAACTCTTTAAGAAACTCTTTAAGAAACTCTTTAAGAAACTCTTTAAGAAACTCTTTAAGACACTCTTTAAGAAACTCTTTAAGAAACTCTTTAAGAAACTCTTTAAGAAACTCTTTAAGAAACTCTTTAAGAAACTCTTTAAGAAACTCTTTAAGAAACTCTTTAAGAAACTCTTTAAGAAACTCTTTAAGAAACTCTTTAAGAAACTCTTTAAGAAACTCTTTAAGAAACTCTTTAAGAAACTCTTTAAGAAACTCTTTAAGAAACTCTTTAAGAAACTCTTTAAGAAACTCTTTAAGAAACTCTTTAAGAAACTCTTTAAGAAACTCTTTAAGAAACTCTTTAAGAAACTCTTTAAGAAACTCTTTAAGAAACTCTTTAAGAAACTCTTTAAGAAACTCTTTAAGAAACTCTTTAAGAAACTCTTTAAGAAACTCTTTAAGAAACTCTTTAAGAAACTCTTTAAGAAACTCTTTAAGAAACTCTTTAAAAAACTCTTTAAGAAACTCTTTAAGAAACTCTTTAAGAAACCCTTTAAGCATGCTCTTTTTTTATTTAAAAGGCTGTGATATGAACCAACCAACCTGGCTGGCTCTTTTGTTTCTGTTTTACCAATATTCAGTATTGTTTCAAATTTACAAATACAAACATTTTCGTTACTATCTGCATTGAGTAAAAGAATATATATTCGTTTACTCAATGCTATCTGTAATATTCCTATTGTTAGTATTTGGGTATGTGTGATTTCATTACTTATGGTTAGTGATTTATTTTGTTTGTTTGGTTTATTTGTTTATTTTTCAATTATTTTTCATTTATTTATTTTTTATTTATTTTATTGTTGTTATAATCGCAGTATTGCAGTATCGCAGTTAGTAATATTTACAATTTTATATAATTTACAATTTGATGTATAGGTAAGTACAAAACAATTCATTATTGCTGTTGTAAATTTAATACAATTTAATAAGCAGTTTAAAAAGAAAAAATATATTTATTAAATAAATCGTAATAGATTTAAAAAAGACGTATTAGGTAAAATTTAAATAAAAAAAATAAATTTATTTCGAAACTAATGTAAATAAAAATTGCAAGAATTAATTTGTATAATTTAGTTTTACATTTTTCGAGAACTTTAGTAGTGTTCTTCGTATTATTGAAAAATTTCTGTAAAGTTTCAACTAACGTTATAATGTTGAATAGATAATTTGCACGTACTATTTCTTTTCATTATATTTTAATTATTTTGTACTGCATAACAAAGGTTAAATATCGTTAAGAGGATCACATAAAATATTTAGAAATTTAAATTTCCCTACCTCTTTACAGTTTTTCTTTATTAAATTCTCTCAAGATTGGTCTCACGTTCATGGTAATAATTAAAAGTTTTTCATGAATAGAAATTAAATATATCTTTGTTGACTGAACTAAAAGTTAGTGCGTATTTCATACTGAAAAGACCTAAGTAGGCCCAGAAGAGGAATAAATTTTCTTCGGTGTTTGCATTTAAAAGGCAAACCAAAGGAAAGTTCACTTTAATCGGGAATAAACAAATAACATTGGCAAAATACTGTTGCGTAACAATAGCCTTAAATAGGGGAGTTTGACTTTAGATAAATACATTTATATTTTATTGCTGCAGTATTTGAATATTCTGAGAAATTAATACTAAACGCGCCTGATAGATATATTTTAGAATAGATTCAAACAACGTACTGGATGCCCTGAATGAATTTGAACCGAGAAGGGTATCGAGAGTGTCATGTTACCAAGAAATAGCTAAAAAGTTATAAATTGCGAGAAGCAAAATTTAGCAAACATAAAATAATCAAATAATATAAACAAGAAATAACGCCCAGTAGAATTAAATCTATGGAAAAATGTAAAATGTTAAAATAAGAGACAATTTCGGAAGATTATTTTGATTGACAGGTATGTAAAGCAATTAAAAGGCTAATACTTACTGGAAATATAATAGTTATTTGTGTATCAAGGGCGTAAAATAGGTGTTTATAACCGCAACGTGTAAGTAAGAGCACGAGCCGCTAGGCGAGGGCTATTAACACGTAAGGTCCATAAACGCTGTTTACGCTCTAAATACATACAAAATTGCATGCGCGACCCTTTTAATGATAATTTATTAACAAATATATCAAATTTTATGTACGATCGTTTTAATGATCGTTTATTAAAAAATAGCTATTGTTTTACTAACTAGATGTGAATTTTTAAAAGAAATAAAAAAAATCATTTTTTCTATGACTTTTTAACAATATAAGTATTATTACATCTATTTACTATTGATTAATGTAAGTAATTACTCATACAGTGAGTTTTTTTTCATTATTCAATTATTTTTAACCATTGCTTAATTATTTTCAACAAAATTCGACCACAACTACAATCTACACGGAATACCAGTTGACTAATAACTAAGTGTGGTTCTGTCTACATCACATACTTTGATTTTCTTTTACTATACGGAGAATGGTCGCACTGTGCAGCTTTCTGACTGCCTTTTAAAAGGAGATAGAAAACTCCGCCATTTTGAACCCTTATTACGTGTTGCCTACATCTTGGCGCAATATTTTTAATACGTGCGTTTTAATCATCCGCTTCTGCTTCGGAATTGTCAGTTTTCCTGTTTTAATCTGACAGGTTAAAACGACTAAACCGATAATTCCGGAAGCAGAAGCGGATGAATAAAACGCACCTGATATTTTGCTTGCTGCTGTCAGTGTCAGTGAATATTATTTTTGGAGTCACAGTTTATTGCTAAAGAATCAGTTAGCTCACTCGGACCAGTTGAAAGCTCCAAAATAACATCCACTCCAGGGATACAAATTCAGGATACGCAGAAACTGCTGTTTTATTATAGGCGGTTGTCATATATTGTATTATCCGAGTTGCGCAGTGTATAAACTGGAACATTGAGATCAAAAGTACCGACGCAGAGTGAGCGATCTGATTCTTTAGCTGTAAACTGTGTCACAGGGTTTAAAATGACCGCGCCCTATGTTGGGCGTGTCGGACCTCTCTCTTGCCTCGTATAGTTATCAAAGTATGTGGTCTACCTACTTTTACTATACAGAGAATGGTCGCACTGCGCAGCTTTCTGAGTTCCTTTTAAAAGGAGATAGAAAACTCCGCCATTTTGATCCCTTATTACGTGTTGTCTACATCTTGGCGCAATATTTTTAATAGGTGCGTTTTAATCATCCGCTTCTGCTTTGGAATTGTCGGTTTTCTTGTTTAAGTCTGACAGGTTAAAACGACTAAACTGACAATTCCGGAAGCAGAAGCGGATGATTAAAACGCACCTGATATTTTGCTTGCTGCTGTCAGTGTCAGTGAATATTATTTTTGGAGTCACAGTTTATTGCTAAAGATTCAGTTAGCTCACTCGGACCAGTTGAAAGCTCCAAAATAACATCCACTCCAGGGATACAAATTCAGGATACGCAGAAACTGCTGTTTTATTATAGGCGGTTGTCATATATTGTATTATCCGAGTTGCGCAGTGTATAAACTGGAACATTAAGATCAAAAGTACCGACGCAGAGTGAGCGATCTGATTCTTTAGCTACAAACTGTGGCATAGGAATCAAAATGGCCGCGCCCTATGTTAAGCGTGTCGGCCCTCTCTCTTGCACCGTATAGTAATCAAAGTATGTGGGTCTGTCAAATTTGGAAAATATAATTGCAACGTTGCCGGATTGTGATAAAATTAGTAGTTAATGGAAAATTGTGATTGCCCATATCGGTCCATAAATATGCAATAAGAAAACGAAGCAGACTTATCGTAGGGTAGCAGCTTCGCCGCCACCCTACGATAAGTCGCCGTTACCAAAAAACATCAACCCATACCTGGCTACGCCGACCGGCATAGAACACGGCCTGAACACAGCTCAAATTGAATAATTGAAATGAAAAGTCTCAAATAAACACATTTATATTCTGGTTTTATCATCTGGCCTGGAGCTATTGAAAAAACAGCCACTGTCATTCCTGTTATGTACGTTCTTTTACTATGTTTGACAACTCCACATATATAGAAATAAAAATATCAGTTGTCATATTATTCATAAACAAAAAATAATATAAAACGGTATAAAACAAATAACAAAAAGCAATTGGCAACATCGCTAAAATCACGCACAGGCGCTCTTAGTGTGACTGTCAAATCGAAAAAATTAAAAACAATATGGCTACGTGAGAATGTCGTCAATAAATGCATATTCTTAATATTTTAGCTTACATTTTTCCGTGATTTGAGAAATATTAACCCAACTTGTTGCAAAAAGACGAAAAATTGGACTCGCCCGGCAGAAGATGATGCATTAAATTTACTATTTATGTCAAATAAATAAATAAATGAATGAAATAAATTAAATTTTTTAACGAATTCCCAAACCTATAATTTTGGTAACATCTACCCATCTACAATTTCTTAATTTCTCAAAAATAGAAGAATGAAGGTAGGTATCTAAAATTATTATTACCTACGTATATTGGCAGTTTTATGTGCAAAAAAACATGTCATAATGATTTAGTGATGATGCCTTCAGTATAATTCAGTCCAATTATTGAAACGGCCACTATAGCCTCTACCATTGAGGTATAATATTTTGGTGGTTGAGTTTACAATTTATCACAGTAATGTTCCAACGTTTTTCTTTCTTCTTGTTTATTATTTTTTGTTCATGCCACCACACAACAGTCAAATTATGCGATTTTCAACAACAAAAATCTCCGATTACCGTTCAAGATACTTTTTCGGAGTGCACAAATGTTTAGATTCCAAACGTATGTTTAAAATTAAATGAATTTCAAGCGATTTTCATCACGAAAACGTGTCCATACATAAGTGTTGCAAAAAGAATTTATCGAAGTTTTAAATCCTTTCCAGTGCACAGTATTTTCATTATTTAGCTCATTTCAATGCCTGGTTCATTCGATTTCCGTTTTCTCTTCTCCTAACTCGAAACTTTAGACCGTTGAAATTGACTCGATTGCGGGGAATTATGTTGGAAAGTAAAAAATTACAAATTAAAATTATTTTGTTTTCATTGTCCTCCTACTAGAAACTTTCCAATATATCTTGGTATAATATACAATAGGGTAAGGCATACAAAGTTGCTCCTGAATAGTTTATTAACCTCTGTGGATTTACCGAACGAGCGTGGAAAACTCTATACCCAGAAGCTTTTCTTTTCAAATAAAAAGCTCAAATATCCTCTGTTAGCAGAAGGCTTTGCCGTAATGCCGCCCGATAAATAAGTGATACCAGTGCTGTAAGTATTTAACTTCTATATTTTGTTGGGATTTTATAAAGTTTATGAAAAATTTTGCCGTCGTTGGCTACATATGAAGGTTTTGTCAATGTTGCAAAGAAATGAATGCCTTTTCTGCAAAGGAAAACCTCTTTTATAAATCCCCCTTCAGGAGGTTGGCGCTTGTTTTAATAATTAAACTGGTTAAGAAGTAAATTACCATCAAGTATCTTAAGAGTTATACAGGATGTTAGTTAATACAAAATATG